AAAGGAAATGGGCAAACTTGGATAATAATGATTGTATCTGTCCATGTTGCAAAAAGGAACCTGAAACACTGGAGCATTTCATATTACATTGTGAATGTTTCTCAGCACAGAGAAAAACTCTAATGGAAGGGATTGAAATGCTCCTATGTAACAAAAATGAAATAAATTTACATAAAGACTTCATAGCAAATAAAGAAGTGCTATGTTTAATCCTGGGTGACAGTACAAGGCAGTATAATTCAGTCCTGTGTGACGAAATTGATACTTTTACAAAAAATTCTTAGTTGATGCCATGGACAGTAGAAAGAGGTATACAGATAATATTTAATATTTTTCCAGTGTACTTCTTATATTTTAGTTTTCTTATTTTTTGTTGTTGTTGCTACTTTTAGATGTTTTTTGTTGTTGTTATATTTTGTTATCTTAGTTCATGTAACTTTATTTCTTTTTGTCTATCAACAGTTTTTTTTTCATAAGTCTTTGAGTGAAATGTATTTTTTATTTGGTGCAGCTCCTAGTTTACATAGTGAGCCCCTGTTACAAAAGGGAAGCAATAAATAAATAAATAAATAAATAAATAAATAAATATGTGGGTAAAAATTGAATATTGCGAATTCATACACAATATGGTTCATGCATTGGCCCATGAGCACTGCCTGCGTGATAATTGGGTAGCATGTGTACCAATCAACCAAAGAAAATGACCTGTTGCAGCAATGTTGAACATCATATCCTAGTACATGTAGCACTTGAATACTTGGTAATCACTTGTCACTCTTTACCCCATCCCTTGATTACCATTACAGGCAAAGTAATAACTAGAGACTCTAAGCGTGATAAGATGCAATACCTTTATTTCTGAGAAAGATTGGCATCAAGTTGCCATGGCGTACATTGTGCATAAAAATATACCAAAGTGCAATGCAAAAAATAAAGCACCAGTTTGAATGTTCCCAATAATTGAATAATTTTTGTTTTAATAAATTGGGATAGTATAAAATAGACCCAAAATGAGTTGTTTTTATATACGGCCTAACACTCCTGAGTTATTGTACTGGATATGTAGATGTGATACTAATCAGGTTGACACTTGAACATCGGTCACAGTCATTGCACTACATTGTGATTGAAATAGGTCCTATGCAACATATACTAGTACATGGATTGTACGATAACTTGCTTGTTTACATGCAATTTGATACTGTTGTGCATTAATTACCATACCAATAGAAGATTATGTGCAAAGGTCTTAGTTGTATCACAGCCTGCGGTTGTACGAACTTTGCACTCAATCTTGGGGTTCAGCAAAATTTGCATTCAAACCTTTTGTTTTATATATTTGATAAAAAATGGTACATATATTGTACTAAAATATGTTTAGAAATGGTGGCTGAGTATTTTTTACATTTATGTAAAGTATTGTCAGTCACACAGTGTGAACAAATAATATATATGCCGCGTGGGAGTCGTATTTAAAGCGAGAGGGTTGTCACCTGCGCACATGCGGATTTGAGTCCCAAACGAAGATAAAAACGCAAAGGCTCATAGGTAGACACTTGTTTGTAAACAATGACACTATGGCCATCTGACACATGCGCAGGTGACAACTCCCCACTTTATCATAACATGGTGTGATGTCTGGTACTTAAATCCACTTCTCCTGGTGGA